TTAAAGGGGGTCAGAGCTACCAGGAAGGGAGTGGAGCCTGATGGAGACACTGGGAACAGAAGGTGAGGGGGTAAGAGCTACCAGGAAGGGAGTGGAGCCTGATGGAGACACTGGGAACAGAAGGTGAGGGGGTGAGAGCTACCAGGAAGGGAGTGGAGCCTGACGGAGAAACTGGGAACAGAAGGTGAGGGGGTAAGAGCTACCAGGAAGGGAGTGGAGCCTGACGGAGAAACTGGGAACAGAAGGTGAGGGGGTAAGAGAGGCAGGAAGGGAGTGGAGCCTGATGGAGACACTGGGAACAGAAGGTGAGGGGGTAAGAGCTACCAGGAAGGCCATTCTTAAGTATTTGAGTGGAACAGGATTGATTGGAAGAATTTAAAACAACGTAAACAACACAATGGTATAATTCCACAAGTGGTGATAGGATGATATGGTGATACACTCTCTTGTACAGTAGGTGGCGGTATGCACCTTAAAGCTGTTTGCAATCCGCCAAAAACCGAGAGAAGAAGAAGAAGAAGAACCTGGATCCACGTTGCGTCTCGTCTCTACGGTTCTCTCTCTGTGTTCCTGAGAAAGTGTGTGTGAGCTCCAGCTCTACTGATCCATCATCTGTGTGTCTGGATAAACCTCTGAATGGACTGTGTGCTCTTTTTTCTGGAGCGTTTACCTCGGACTATAGGAGCTAGCTTAGCATGCTAGCTGGAAACACGTTAGCAACACTAGTCAGCTTGAGAGTTTGATGCAGAGAGAAACGGTGTGTTTAACGGAGTCTGCAGGGAAAGGTGATCTAGGAAACATGAGTAAAGTCCAAATGCTGCTGTCGTTGAAGAAGCAGCGACTCACTGCTGCTAATGAAGAGATATTTGCTCTGTTTGAACAAACAATAGCAGAGCTCGAGGAGGAGCTGTTTCTTTCCAAAGAGGAGAAGAAGAGACTCCAGAAACTACTGGACGCTGTTTTACAGCCTCAGCTTCGGATCCACAGAGCAGGTCTGTTCCCTTTACCCTTCATTAACACTTTACACTCTTCAGTAGCACTTTATTATCACATTAATAACACTTTAGACCCTTTATCAGCACTTGCTGCAGGTAGTAGATCCTGAAGTAAAAGTACAAACACCACACTGTGAAAATACTCCATTACAAGTTAAAGTACTGCATTAATATCTTATTTAAGTAAAAGTATGTAAGTATTATTAGACACATGTACTTTATTATAATAATTCAAATGTATTACGGAAGAGCAAACCTACCAAAATAAATATATTTATAAAAATACATACATTGAATAATATGCCATTTGATGTACTGATTTAAATATGACCCATGCATGTGGGCACTAGGAGTGGAGTGCACCAGCTGGCAATAGTGTCTGTATGCAGACCACAGCAAGGAGGCGGATCCTAAAAGGGGGTGTTTCGTAAAGGGTTATGAGCCCCGCCCCCCACGTATTTCTTAAAGGTATATGACGCTCTGTTTCTCATTTATTTTAATGCTTTGAATGAATCATAAACGAACTTTGAAAAATAATAATTATAATTAATTTGCATATAGAATGAAGAGTATACAACCCACAGAGAAGACAAATTAATTGACCTATTGACAGATCATAATGAATACAGAGTCAATTTGATAGTTTATCATAACATAGGATACATTAAACTCATACATTGTAGGCATATCATTTTTTACTGTTTGTGCAGTGGTAGTAATTATTATTCAAATCAATCAACTACGTTTTATGGAAGATATTGCTGTATATCATTTAACAACATGAGTAGAGGTTTCTCTACACCTAAAATACTGAAGTTACTGTCCTGGTCATGTTGTGTCTGGTGGTAAGATTAATTAATTAATTAACGTATTTATTATTTTTGAAACATTACAATACACATCAAATACTAAACATGAAATGTATAGTACATGCTAGGGCTGTCCCGAATACCATTTTTCGGGCTCCGGATATTCGGTAGTAATCAACAGCGAATATTCGAATATTCGGTGCGGAGAGATCTTTTTTTTTTTTTTAATAAAAAATTGTTTTGCCAACATTTTTTCATAACACGCTCCTCCGAGACACCTGACAACACGCTGTTAAGCAGAAGCGCAGAAAGAGCATACTATTACGATTTATATTTATTGATTGTCTCAGTACTCGCATACATTAAAACTAAAACTAGAAATGAGGACGGGTGGCGCAGTGGTCTGTGTATCTGATCATCAGATCAAGTGCTGGGGAACTCCAGTTCGAAACCCGCTCCTGCCGCCACTGCGTCAGTCCGTTGTGTCCTTGGGCTTCACCCGGATTTGCTCCTGTGGGTAATGTCCACAGTACATGTATGATATCAATGTGTACTTGTAAAAGCGCCTCGATGACTTCGAGGCGTGAAGATGGACGGTGTGGCGCTGTGCAATGATCAAGGGGTGAAACCCGCCGCTGCTGCGTCTGTAAAGCCGTTGTGTCCTTGGGCAAGACACTTCACCTGAACTTGCTCCTGTGGGTATTGTCCACAGTGACCATTGCATTTATAAAAAATATTTGTAATGTGTATTTGTAAAGCGCTTTGAGCATCTGGAAAAGCGCTATAATAAATGTAAGGAATTATTAAATGTGTCCTCTGCATTTAACCCAGCCGCAGTGCAGTGCCCGGGGACCAAATCTGGTTCCAAATTCCGTCTATAACGTTTTACAACCTGAAGATACAAAACACATATTTCTGTTATAACAACAATACTTTTAATAACATAGCCGTAACAGTAGGCCTAACAGTGTTGTTACCGATACAGTAACCAGTATTTAAATAAATGAAGAACGAAAAATAAATGAACTCACTGTATGCCAATAATTGCCTTAGCCCCAGATGTTCCCACATTGCTCCTATTATTTTCATTATTCGGATCAAATTGAAAAACTAATATAAAAAAGCAATTCGGCAAACCCTTGCAAAGATTTTCCAAGCAAAGTAAATGCACGATTTTATCATGTGTAACGTTACTGTTTAAACGGCGGATAAAGCAGCTTCATCATGGCAACTTGACAACAGCTAAGCTAGGCTAGTATTTACAGCATCCGGTGACTTTTCAGAGTTGTTGTGCCACCGTGGTAGGCCAGTTTCTTGTCGCATATTTGGCACACTGCCTTCTTCTTACCGTCGTCCAATTTTTAAAATGGTCCCACACAGCTGGAGTCTTCGGCATTTTGTGTTCAGGTGTGTGAAACGAGGTGAAGCGAGCCGTTTGCGTTCGTGACTGTGAGTGAACGCGATGTCAGGAGCACAGGCTGAGATTGTATATATTTCCGCATTTTAACAGTGCAATTCAAAAGTATAAATATAGTATAAGAATATGGCAATTCGCCTTTATTGATAGCATACATTTAGGGGAAGAAAAAAAAAACAAAAAAAAAACGAATATCCGAATAATGAAATTGAAACCCGAATAGTTGGCCAACGAACGAATATTCGAATATTCGGGTACAGCCCTAGTACATGCCAATACATTGTACAAAGGAAAATATCTTCATTAAACATAAACATTTTATTGGGTGTTCAGTGTGCGAAAAAGTACACGTCCCACCGTCCGGGACGTGTTATTTACAATATCGGACAAGTAGATCTTTCAATTGACTTGTCCGGCGGACAAGTGGCGTTTTTCGCCCCGATTTATTGATACATTCAGTTTACAAAAGGCAGAACTCATTCGCAAATTGTCCGTGTCCGCCATTGTTCGTTTAGTTAGTTTCGGTTCTGCTTGTCGATTCCTAAGGAAATCCATCTCGAGGCTTTCTGTACAGTTAGACGGGGCGGGGCGGGGCGGGGCGGGGCGGGGCGGGGCGGGACGGGACGGGACGGGACGGGACGGGACGGGACGGGACGGGACGGGACGGGACGGGACGGGACGGGACGGGACGGGACGGGACGGGACGGGACGGGACGGGACGGGACGGGACGGGACGGGACGGGACGGGACGGGACGGGACGGGACGGGACGGGACGTGTAGCACAGTGGCAGGGTTGGGAAGCAAAACTCGGTTCCGAGTAGGAACAAATAACAATTGTCCGGTACCGGGATTAATGAGAGTTGTGAGGACAGGAGGCGAGGCCGAGCCCCACGGATTGCAGCTCTCTCTCTCTTTATGCTCCGTATCAGCTGATCGCTGCACGGTGCAGCTCAGCGTCTCTCTCTCTCTCTTTCTACACCCAGCGGATCCGCTACCTGTGTAACAGCCTCATCTTTGTCAAACTTTCTTATGTTCTTTCTCTAACACGTAATGAAGGTTATTAAGCGTTTTAGCTTCTGTGTTGTTAATATGGACCGCCATTTCCTTTATGAAGTAAAGCAGCCTCCCTGTCTGTGTCCTCGCGCTGTCCTCACATCCCCGGACCCCCAGACTCGGAGGAGCACAGGGATGTCAGTATTGTTTATGAAGCAGGGTATAGAAAGTACATTATTGAAATGAAAATACTATTCAGGGTTTCCCACACATAGACTATACTTGGGCGGGCCGCCCAGGTATATTAACGGCCGCCCAAGTATATTTCGCGACCCATTTTTTTTTATTATTTTTTTTTTATATAGCCTACGTTTTTTTTTTTTTTTTTTTTTTTATTCGTCCGTGACCACGACGCCAACTGCAATCGATTAACTTGTGGACAATGATCCCTCGCTCCCTTGCTCTGATCTCGCCTCGTTAAGTGGCCTGCCTCACACAGGGTGGTGACTGGCTGTCTACATGATGTGGCCTGCCAACATGGCCACTGTCATAGAGATCATAAATCAAAGCCCTTGATTGGTCTCTGTGTGTCATTCAAGCTCGGGATAACCTCAGCTCAGGTGAGGTAAAGGACTCTCTGAGTGTTTAGATAGTTAACTTAGTCTAAGTTCTCAGTGGGTCTCAAACGGTGTGGTCACCATTTATGTAAACACATATTTCCATTTGAGAGGGTAGTGATTGATCTAATGGATAGTGAGGTGGGCTGAACATCGGAAGGCTGTGAGTTCAAATCCCGCCAGGAACACCACCACTAGTGTGCCCTTGAGTGCCAGCTTTACGCAAAATGATTATACAAAATGATTATACAAAATGAAAACTTTACTTTTTTGAAAATATTTACATATTTGGAAGAATGTCATGTAATATTTGAAAATTGAATTCTGGCAATTGACCCTCTGTAGAAATTGTCTGTAGCTGCCATACATTATTTGACTTGCTGTTTGTCAACCACAGCTTCCCAGTACGTCTGTATGTATGATGTCTGCTTGTATATTGTTTTACAATGACATCCTGTCAGAGCCATGTGTACATTGTCAATGTAATCTTTGGGTTTTGATCTATTATTTAGAAGCACGAGCCATTTTTTTAGGGATTGCCTTTCTAATAATGAATAATTCACTTACCCAATTCCTTTTATCCTGAAGCTTATGGCATATCTTTAATGCAAATTATACCTTAGTCAATCCAATGTTGATACATTAATGAATTTCCTCTAAGATCCGTTATATACTTAGATCCCCAAATGGTCTGGTTTCCAACCTCCTCTCCTGTACGGCTCCTTTAGTGTTCCACCCCCTGCTTTCTGCCAGCTAGCCCATCTTTGAATGACACATTGATAGAAAGAAGGAATCCCTGTTCAAATCAAGGTCTTTCCGAATCAATTGAGAAATAGTTTAGGCAATAGCTTCCAGTCCCCTGATGTTGGGTGATTGATCCATAATACGCTTCAACCAACCGTAATGAAGTGCTTCTCTGTGAGATAAAAATATATAGCATTTTAAACCCTGTCTCATAATCTCCAGTGATAACTGATCTTTTTCAATTGTATGCCTCTTTCCAGACCAAATAGTCTAGGGGTAAGATGAATAACTTGGCTTTGGATAAGTTGAGCCTATAAATAAGGGAAAATACTGTACCGTACACCACATGGCTTTAATACATACATATTGTTTATGAGGAGAGAAAAGCTGTGTTTTTCATCAACGCATATATGAAAGGAAGTTACATCAACACACATAAGATAATTGCATAACACAAATTCCCCTTAAACCTTCATCTTATTCAAAGAAGAATTAGAGCATAATAAATGAAGCGGTAATACTGGCTATGCATCATACTTATAATGTATTATAATCAGCTTATAACACTATAATTATTGTTCTAGGAACTCATTGATGCTCATAAATGAAGCAGTTGATGTGGGATTCAGCAGTAGTAGGATTCAAGGCGTTTTTAGAATCGGCTATACAGTTATACAGAAGGACCAGAGTTTACTCTGAATAGGAAGTGTTTTAAGGAAGATTTCAGAACCCATGGTGTAGGACTAAAACACATACACGCATATTACAATCACTCACTTAGACTGGCCTCCAATGTGTTAAAACAAGAGACGCAGATCAGTGCCCCTTATGGGGTTAATTAGGGTTAGGCTTGGGGCTAGGGGTAAAGATAGTTTTGAGGGAACATAGGGCTGACTGTAGGTACGCTCCTGTGTATGACAGTGCAAAATGTTTGCCTATTCTTTGACTCCTGTTGTCTGTTATTCTGTGTTAAAGTAGTAATAGTCTGTCCTTTAGCACAGTTACATATCTGTCTGGTACAAATGTTTAAGTGAACAGCTTGACCTGTATCTGTTTTTGTGTACTTGTCTAGGCGGATGATGTGTCCCTTCAAAATGTGGCAGGCAAGACAGTTTTCTGAATCTTTCAACAGTGTAATAGAATCGGACCATATTTTCATCAGCATCCTGGGCTGTACAAAGAGCAGTTAGCACTGTTGAAAAAAGGACACATATATGAGAGAAGTATAACAGTTTATTTTGTATAACATGTAAAGCCTTGAAACACAATATTTGTATGCACAAATTACTCAAGTATAAATACTTCAGCCCATTGTGTCCGATGACAGCGGAAGGAGAGAGCTGGTTAGGAAGGCGTAACTCCTTTTCCCCGCAGCGTTCCATAACTTAAGCATTGGTCTGTTTATAGGAAAACATATGCAGCACTGTGCAGTTGTGGAGGATGCAGGACTTAAACATAAGTATGATTAAAACGAGCTACGCCATTACCCTCTCCACAACAAATAAATTATTATTATTAACAGACAGAACAGACGTGACTAGGAACTCTCAAGTAAACACGTGGCTCATAACCCTTTAGGAAACGCCCCCTATAGGATCCTCCCTTTATAGGAACCACCCCCTGCCTGCGGTCTGCATCCAGACCCATCTCCCAGCTGGGTGTAAAAAAGTAGGGCTTAACTCTAACGTCGGGCTTAGCTACGTCCGACTTAGTGATTCGAATTTACACCGAGTGCACCAAGCCTGACTAGTCTCGGGCGTAGCTGCGCCTGGTCTTAAGATGCGCGTCCACGTGAATACACGCAAAACAGTAATTGTTGCCAAGCAACACACGTCTATATAATTTAACACTCAAACTCCTCCATTCAGAGCAAGCTAAGAATTGAATAACGAATATGGATAACGGAAAGAAGAGAAAAAACTATTTTACTGATAGAGAGATTAGAACATTAATGGAAATATATGCAGAGCATAAAAACTCGCTAACTGCCAAATGTAATAATACCATGACAAACCAACACAAACTCGCAGCCTGGAAGTCAATCACTGGTGCGATAAATGACTTGGGTGATGGAGGGATACGGACGGTGGAAGAGTGTAGGAAAAAGTGGAAGGACCTACTATCCAGAGCCAAAAAGGATGCATCGGTTCTCAAAAACCCTCCGACCGGCGGAGGCCCTGCTCCAAAAACCTCTCCATACAGCAAAATCATTATTGCTATTTTTGGAGAGGATTCCCCCACTTTCACCGGGTTGAATGGGATCGACAGCTAAGAGCCCTCAACCTCAACATTTGAAGAGGTTGACGCAGACGTGTCAGCTGTCACTAGTGGTAAGTCATTAATAGAGTAACATCACCCTACATTATCTATATACATATTACCCCCACGTGAGACATCACGGCTAGCAAGATAACAATTAGCAATCACGGCAATTGATATCAACTGACAATAACTGACAGTAACTGACAGTAACTTGCCATTTTACAGACTCAGAGGACCGCAGAGAAGAGGGAAGTCCCTCACCCGTCAGCGATGACTCAAGGGGAATCCCAAATGGCCACACCCCGAAAGAGAAAGAGGGATTTGTCAGAGCTACAGCGGGAACTGACGGAGAAAGAAATCGTTCGTGTGGAGGTGGAGACCGTCAAATTGAGAGTGGAACACGAAGAAATTGAGATGGAGAAATTGAGACTCCAAATAATAATTCTTAAGAATCAGCTACTAATCACTGAAGAAGACAATGTGTTCACCGTTCTGTAATCATGTTGTACTTGTTTTTTATCTCAATTTCATGTTAATAGTTCTCCAAAATGTTGTTATTTAATGTTCTTATGTTCTTTGAATAAAATAGGCCTAATGAAAATATGTGGTCACAAAGGGAGCTTATTGAAATGCAATTGCAAAAAAACAGCGTTCATATTACAAATATATAGGTCTATAGGTTGTTTATTATATGATTGCAGGTAAGTCGTCCACCGATATCTTCACGGATGCCAGCAGGAGCCACAGGGTTCTCATCTGCCTCCAGTACCTTCTCCTTGAAGGGGGATTCTCTTTTTCACACAGATGTTGTGCAGCACCGCAGTGGCAGCAATGATCACGCAGACACAATTTAGCCTATATCTACATTAAAAGGCTGGCCTTTTATATATTGTAAAAATGACTTACTAACCTACGTTTGAGCACTCCAATGCAGCGCTCTACAATGTTCCTCCTTTGTGTATGCTTGTCGTTATAGTGGCGCTCTTGTGCAGTTCTCTCTGCGATGACAGGTGTCATTAGCCAGCGCTTCAGAGGGTATCCACTGTCTCCGAGAAGAAGACCATTCACTCTCCCTGCCTCAAATTCCCGTTGAAGGGCGCGCTCTCTCAGGACTTCCAGACTGAAAACTCATCTCTTTCGACTCCACTTTGAGCGATAGAACTATTAACAAAGCACTAATATACTAATAAAGGACTGGCTTATCTAAAGCCAGTTGAGTAGCACTTGAAATGTCTTTGCTCTATGAAACCTGATGTACTTATATGATTCTGTTTTCTTCAAGTTTGTATTTTGTTGGTCGAACGCACTTATTGTAAGTCGCTGCTTCTTCTTTGTGGTAGGTGAATATAGTTCCTAAGGCGGTGCTGGAGGGCCAATGCAACTTGTCTTATAGCCCGACATGCAGTTGTGCACTGGTCTTAACCTTCGGTTCTATGACGGACGTAGAGTTACGCCCAGTTTACGCCCAGCTGGTGCACTCCACTGCAGTCGGTTAAATGTGATTGATACTTTAGTTTTAATGTGCTTCTTTATTCACCTTTTCTTTTTAAATGTGTAAAAGCAAATACTTTGGATTAATTCAAATTGTGGGAGAATAATTCATAAAGAAATCAATGAATAAATAAATATCCACCGATCGATATCGGCCGATACTCACTCTCTACACAGAGAGAGAGAGAGAGAGAGAGATGCTCAAGCAAGTTTATTTATTTAAATTGGTTAACACGTTAACTTGACAGCCCTAAACATATATATACAGAATATATATATTTTTGAGAGAGATACACTAGTATTAGATGCAGTCAAAAGTTGACACATCTTCTCTTTCGAAGTTTTTATTTAAATTGGTTCTACTTTCTAGATTTAGAGCCCCTCCCCCAACACACACGAACGTGCACATGACCAATGAGGGCACGAGATAAGTTTGTGCACAGATGGAAGGCTGACAGGCAGGTAGGCCATCCAGTTACTTTAGCCGGCTCAGATGATTGGTCGTGCTTTTACAGTACTACGGCTTCCACAGATGATATTTGTTTATGGGTTTTTTGTCAAAGCACTTAAGATATTCATTGCTATCGGGATGTTAAGAGCATTCCATGGAATATAACAAGAGTATCTCGAGCCGGTTTCTCAAACTTACCTACCCCACCTTTAACTGGAATTATCTAGTTAACAAAAAAGTGTTAACAAATCCAGAATATGATTTATATTTTGCTGGCTACTGCAGAATGCTGTGGTAGCCATGCTGGTTAAGGGTGCCTTGAACTCTGAATAAATCACCAACAGTGACACCAGTAAAGCCCCCCTCCACCATCTCACCCCCTCCTCCATGCTTCACGGTGGGAACCACTCATGCAGAAACCATCCGCTCACCTTCTCTGCGTCTCACAAAGACACATCAGACCAAAGTACAGATTTCCACTGTCTAATGTCCAATCCTTGTGTTTCTTGGCCCAAACAATTCTCTTCTTCTTGTTGTTCATCCTCAGTAGTGGATCTTTGCAGCAATTGGACCTTGAAGGCCTGATTCACGCAGTCTCCTCTGAACAGTGGATGTTGAGATTGTCTGCTACTTGAGCTCTGTGATCATTTATGTGGGCTCTAATCTGAGGTGCTTTAATTTGCGGTTTCTGAGCCTGGTAACTCTGATGTGTTTATCCTCTGAGCAGAGGTAACTCTTGCTCTTCCTTTCCCGGGGGGGTCCTCATGAGAGCCAGTCTCATCATAGCGTTCCATGGTTTTTGCGACTGCACTTGAGGATACATTCAAAGTTCTTGAAATGTTCCGGATCGACTGGCCTTCATTTCTTAAAGTGATGATGGACGGTCGCTTCTCTTTACTGAGTTGAGTCGTTCTTGCTATAATATGGATTACAACAGCAGTCAAATAGGGCTTTCCACTGTGCACTAACTCTACCTCTGCACAACACAACTGATGGTCTCAAACACATTCAGAAGGCAAGTCATTCCACACATTGACTCTTGACAAGGCACACGTGTTAATAGAAAACCATTCCAGGTGACGACCTCATGAAGCTGACTGAGAGAAGCCAAGAGTGAGCAAAGCTGTCATCAAGGCAAAAGGGGCTACTTTGAAGAATCTAAAATAAAAATCATATTCTTGATTTTTTTTAACACTTTTTTATGAACTAGATAATTCCATATGTGCTCTTTCATAGTTTTGATGTCTTCAGTGTTAATCTACAAAGTAGAAACAAATTAAAATAAACAAAAAACATTGAATGAGAAGGTGTCCAATCTTTTGACTGGTACTGTATATAAAAAACACACATATTTGAACATTTAGCAGGTTCCCTCATCCATAATCATTTATACAAGCGCAACTTTGAACATGTACAGCAGTAAAATGCAACTTACAAAATAATCAAGAAACAACATAAATTAAACACTGACAGGGAACATTTTACTGCACCATCATTACTGTTACATAAGAAGGTGCCGTCAAATGTTCTGTTAATACTTGCATACTTTTACTTAAATAAGGTTTGAATGCAGGATTTTAATTTGTTAGAGTATTTTCATTCTATACTGTAGGCGTAGTGTATCTGTGAACGATCCCAAATACAATTCCTTGTTTACATTGCGGCTAGTGCTACGCCAGAAGAAAAAACCTTTTACATTTTGAACTGGAAGTGGAAAGGGGCTGGGCTACATGAGGTGACTTGAGCCAACAGAAATACACAATAGGTGGGACTAAGAAAGATAATGTGAAAATATAAAAACAAAGGCATTCATTAGGGCTGCAAAATGTCTCCCATTGTAATGGTGATGAGATTTTTAAATGCTAACACTTAACAGTTTGTTCTGAATGTGTTTCCTGTTTCCTGCAGACGTCCAGCAGCTGGTGGTGGTGAAAGAAGAGCTTCTCCCTGACCAGCAGGAGTGGAGCACCAGTCTGGACCAGGAGGACCCAGAGCCCCCCCCACACATTAAGCAGGAACAGGAGGGAGAGCATCTTCAGGAGCTGGAGGAGGCTGATATCACCAAGTCCACTTTCACTCCTGACCCTGTGAAGAGTGAAGATGACGAAGAGAAACCTCAGTCCTCTCAGCCTCATCAAAGACAAACTGAACACATGGAAACAGAAGCTGATGGAGATGACTGTCGAGGACCAGAACCAGCCAGGAACTCAGATCCAGAGAGCAGTTTACAACCAAAGACTAAGGGCCACACTGAAGACTCTTCTGAACCTGACACTGGAGACTCTTCTGGACCTGACACTAGAGACTCTTCTGTACCTGACACTGAAGACTCTTCTGTACCTGACACTAGAGACTCTTCTGTACCTGACACTAGAGACTCTTCTGAACCTGACACTAGAGACTCTTCTGAACCTGACACTGAAGACAGTGCTGATTGGAAAGAGACCAGAGAACCTGCCTCAGGCTCAAACTCACTGAAAAATAGACATGAATCTGTCAGTGATCCACAACGTAGTGCTGAAAAGAAACAATTCAGCTGCTCAGTCTGTAAGAAAGCTTTTTCACTGAGTGGAAGTTTAAAGAGACACATGAGAGTCCACACAGGAGATAAACCATTCACCTGCTCGGTCTGTAAGAAATATTTTTCACGGAGTGGAGGTTTAAAGGCACACATGAGAATCCACACAGGAGAGAAACCATTCAGCTGCTCAGTCTGTAAGAAAGCTTTTTCACATAGTGGAGAGTTAAAGCAACACATGAGAGTCCACACAGGAGAGGAACCATTCACCTGCTCGGTCTGTAAGAAAGCTTGTTCACATAGTGGAGAGTTAAAGAGACACATGAGAATCCACACAGGAGAGAAACCATTCACCTGCTCAGTCTGTAAGAAATCTTTTTCACGGAGTGGAAGTTTAAAGTCACACATGAGAATCCACACAGGAGAGAAACCATTCACCTGCTCAGTCTGTAAGAAATCTTTTTCACTGAGTGGAGATTTAAAGATACACATGCTAATCCACACAGGAGAGAAACCATTCAGCTGCTCAGTCTGTAAGAAATATTTTTCACAGAGTGGAGATTTAAAGTCACACATGAGAGTCCACACAGGAGAGAAACCATTCACCTGCTCAGTCTGTAAGAAAGCTTTTTCACATAGTGGAGATTTAAAGTCACACATGAGAGTCCACACAGGAGAGAAACCATTCACCTGCTCAGTCTGTAAGAAAGCTTTTTCACATAGTGGAAGTTTAAAGTCACACATGAGAATCCACACAGGAGAGGAAAAATAGATCTGCAAAGTTTGTGACAAAATATTTAAATGGCGTAATCGTTTAAAAAGACCAAGTGTGTTGGTAAGGGAATACATTTGTCTATTTTGTATCCTAATGGCGTTACATGTAATACGTTACTCCCTAAGCCTGTTTTCACCCACCTGCAACCGATTCACTAATAATCACAAATGTTCATTTCTTCGACCCCTTGAGACTATTTATTGTTTAATAATCGTTACATCTCCTCAGGACCAAGTTCCCGTGTCCTGCCTTTCACCTGCTGATCACCCACTGCTCATTTAAGGTGGACTCACCTTTACAAGGGACCAGCTAGTCTTAGTGTCTTAATGCAAACGTTTTGTAAAGTGATGCTAGACCAACAACGTG